GAGTTGAACAACAAGAGACATATTTTGCATATTGAGTAAATTTGATCAACAGAACTGGGGTTGATCTTTCCTTTTCCATCCTGGAGGGTCCTTGTACTTGGATCAAGCTTGTCATAGTTATTAAATGCCATTATGAAGACGAAGGTTGCCAAGCTTGGCACAGTCAGTACAGCAAAATCCGTGATATAGCATAATTTTTGTTACTGAATGGAAGGATAAAATTGTGGAAGTACTTTTTCAGATCTCTTTGAGGCATCTCGATGGGGACAGACTTTCTGTATCTGAAAAACATCCCAAATATTTTTGCTATACAGGGAGCCTATACAGTAGATGTTCAGTTTGGCCAAATAGCAGCACTGTTTTAACTCTTCAAATCAACATGAAATAATTACAGGAAAGTGTTTAAACAGAGATTATTAACACATTTATATGTAAATGCATATTAGCTGCCTAGCTTAATCGTTTCTGCTGATTAAGGACCTTGGACTGTACTTCATACGTTTTTTGCTCACTGCCGACTTTTGGGCTTTAAATATATTATCTCCCCCTGCTGGCAATGCAACTTCTTTGTGCGTGTCCATTTGAATTTTTTTTTTCTAATTTCTTGATTAATCAGCGATTATGTAATTCTCTTCCTGAAATATTTCAGTTACCCTAAAAATGCAGGATGTAAAACAAAATGAAAAGTATCCATCAGGATGAAATAAATCAGTAAAAACACAAGGAAGCATGCAAGGACTTTAACCATCAGTGGATGTATTCCAGCTGCCCAGCAGCTCCCTGAAGGGTTGTCTACACACAAAGCAATCCACTTGCCCTGCATTACTTTTAATCTGACAGGTGGTCACTAGCAGATATTGCAGGTTCCAGTTGCCTAGGTAACTCTGTGATGTATTTACTACTCAAAGGAAGCTGTGAGCTGTGTAGGAACAAATGTACAATGACATTTCACTTTCTGAGAAGCAAGATTCTTTACATGTTTGGCACTGCAGCTAAAACTACACAGTAATAATTTGTAAAGAAGTGAAATCTGTGAATATGATGCGTGATGTATTATACATCTTTTAAGTAAAACTAATCCAATCACATTTACTAACAAGTTACTTACATTTCAGTAGTTTGTATGATGTAACTGCATCAGTCGTTGGCATCGAAAGTTTTTTCAAGGGATGTTTGCTTGACCAACTTTCCCCTTCTCAGAAATCAACTAATGAAAGATAAAATAAAGGATATGAGATATTACGCAATGATACCTTAAATTATTTCAGTTTATTAAAAAAATAAACATTGTGTAAATCGAATTCTCTGTGCTTTGAAAACTCTGACATTCTGATGTCACAGGACTGTCAGTTACGTGGTAACTGGTATACGGACTGCTGCTGCTGCTGCTGGTGGATATTTCTTTACTGCTGTTGATGTTTTAAATGGGGGCGGTATAAAAAATCTATATATGACTGGAGGGGGTGTTAACTTGTCCCGAGGCAGAAAACCAGTCGAAAGCTGACCCAACATGATCCATCTGTTCAGGTTAAAAGCTTTAACTGAACCAAACTCATGAGAGATGTTTAACTGTAGACCAGCAAGATCGATTCCCCCCTCAAAACAGGATAGCAATAATAATTTAAAAATATTTTTTAACTTAATCTGTATTTTTAAATATTGCATTCGACAGGCCTTTCAAATCCCACAAAGACTAATATTTTACATTTTACAATAAATCATTGCCCTCATATTTATATTTTACATTACGGTGCCGAACATCCAGATTAGCATCATCAGGGTTGCAGATGGGTCGTGGTTAGAGGAAATCAGGGGATAATCTGACTTTTAAACCAAAAAATGAGCACAAAAGTATAAATTAGTATATTAAATATAACTCATATTAAAGTATTACTATCAATAACAGTGTAACCCAAAGTTTTCTTTATTATTTTATTGTGCTTGTAAGTAAACCACTTTTTTGTGTGTGTCAACACACAAATCAAACTTGTTATTTTTCATCAGTAAGAACTATCTCAAAATTTAGGTGTTCACCTTAATCAGTCCCAGAATGAGCAGATTTAAAGTGATTGTACAATTTTTTCACACAATATGGCTGCTTCCGAAGCTTTGGTGTGTCATATGTCTTATTAATCTAATAAATGTTGTATAAAAACATTTGAGAAAGCTTTCAGATTCTGCATCAATATGACCGAACACAAGCCCACAAAGTTGATGGACACCACCTCTGTTAAGCAGACCTGGTCATTTCTCCAATATTGTACAGAATTGGAATTAACAGTAAATTGGAAGATGACAGTATAGTCGCATGTTTGCAGTTAAGGGGATGATTACCTGATCTGATACCTTTCAAACTGTGTGTGAACAAGCGCATGATGGCACAGGCAATGACAATTTTTGAATACCTAATAAAAAGAGTGGTTGTTGGGGTTTTTTTGGCTGGGAAGGATTTTTAAACCGTCCTTGAAGATTTTCGACCCAGCAGTCCACTGACAGACAGACTGTGTGCAGATGAAGGAATTTCAAGAGCATTGTTGCGCTCCACAGGAGGATCTGCAAGGTCACAAAGGAACCCCAAAAGTTTCTAAGAAACTAAAGTTCTCTATAACACAGAGGCTGACATTAACGTCAATGATTCCCCTGTCAGGGGAACAGAATGCACAACAATGGTGTGCATCACAGGGCTGGAAGGAGACAAAGAAATCTGTTGTCCATCTGCAGTTTGATAAAGATTACATTGACTACTTGTATGTGGCTTAAGGGGGTCAATTCAGAAAGCCAAGCATATGCACTGGAGTTCTGCAGTCATATTTATATAGAGTCGCTGCCGTATAATGAAGGACTTACACAATGACTGTGTACAACACTAATTCTTTACAAGTATATATTGAGGGTCTTGTACATTGACAACATTTTTCGATTAAAGTGTGAGAAATATCTCCACAGGGCCTTTATCGGTTTTCCACAGCACACTGAGGAGAATATTGAATTTTTTTTTTCAGCTGCAAGGACAAACTCTGCATGAAGGCCACGCTCAATATAACACGCCGAGAATGTGTGTCTGTGAGAGACGAGCACTTGACTGTCACACACACGCACACAGATGAAGGCACTTAAGTTGGCACACTGAGAGGTGACAGTTTGTATAGTCGGACAGAACAGGCCATTACACAGTGATCACACATTTGCAGGATATTTAAGTGAAGTCATTCACTCTATAAGTGTGCCCCATCCTTGGAAACGCTTGCAGACCAGTGACAGCAACAACTCTAACACATTTGATGCAGTTGTCTCGGGGGAGAACTGTTAGCTAAGCTCATTATTGCTGGTTTTATTCTTGATTAAGCCCATTAACTAGAAATCCTGTGAACTTTGAATTCCTGTTGATCGCTGTCCAACTTTTTACTCTGATTTCCCTCCCTCGGGCAGCCATTGGTTCCACATCAGTCAGACTGCAGAGACTTGAAACCTACTGCTGATAGATAATCCATCACAGTCAACACGGAGTCACCTTTTATTTTATTCAGTTATAAGTGCATATTGAAAAGTTTGCACTGCACTGCCAGGCAACAATAACTGAACTCTTGACAGAAACCAAATCAGACACGAGGTTCACTGTGATAGATTAGGTATTTGCAGCCACTTACGACACTGTGCAAGTTGACTCGCACAAAAATGAATGAATGCATCAAAGAGCGCAGAAGAAACACATTAAGCCTCTTAAAGGTATGGCTGGGGAAATGGTTTTCAGCAGTGAAAAAGGTGTGATTTATGTCCTTTCACAGCCTAAATGTGTAGCATTCCTGTTCTCAGAGAAAAGGTCCAAATAAGCTGACCTCCTGTTTGTTGTCTTAGTAAACTGATTGATTTACAATATTAGGTTTTGGAGCTAAAGTAAGCCGTAATACGGCTGGCAGTTCTAAAAAGTGGTTACATCCACAAGAAAATTGGTTGACAAGTGGATGATTTTCACATGTTTGGGTTTTACATAACTAGTGCTGAGTTGTCAGTCTGTAGCCCATATTCAGCCTCCCCATGAAGAGTGTGCTTTCGGGACATAGTTTTGTAATAAAACCCATAACGCCCCACAGAATGTCTTGCTTCCACGGCTGCTAACAGTGCTGTCAGCTGAAGTGGCAATCACACTGGTGCTACCAAAGTGTGGCTCAGGAGTAGTTCAGCCATTTTTACAAGCATTTGTGAGCACATTGCATGCAAATTGCATGCATGCAAGAAACTAACACCAAGTGTACTCAGTCACTGACATACTGTTAAAAAATACATATTTGTAACAGAGCAAAAAATAAAGTCCAGGATTATTTATCACCCAAATACTATCTTCATTATTAAGCATCTTTTAAATCAGGTTTGCTGAAACTGGAAAACAGCATTTTTTTTAAAAAGCTGCTTAACTTTCAGTAAGGTTGGTAGCTGCTTTGGATTGTAGGAGGTTAGGTTTTGATCTTTGGGTAATTAACTAAAGTCTAACTGTTTTCTGGTCTGTTGGCAGGCGATGATCATTAGGATGTTTGTTTATGAGAACATGAAGTGCAGACGCCAGGACTGATTTGGTCACACTACCAACGAAGAAGCACGTGTCTGCAAAATATTTCAGTAGAATTTGGTGGTATGATCAAACTGATATCTGAACTCGTCACAACATGACTACTGAACGGCTTTCATACACAAGCTTGTGGTCAGTGCTAACAAGCACCTGAGCAACAATGCAGATATCCATCCTTAGTTATTTTGGAACTAGTTTAAGAGAACAGAAAAATACAGTGGATCGATCCTGGGGGGGCTTGGGTGTAGCCTCAAGCCTGAAATACATATGCTTGAATCTGCTTCATGCATACTTACCCTCAGTGGTGCATCGGTTGGTTCACAATTATAGCTTGATAGCTTTTCTTTAAACTGTATCTACTGTATGTAGTTTTGACACACAATGGTCCATGATTTTATAAAGCTATTAAACTCTGTTTTATTTCTTTATATTTCAGATTTATGAGCAAGATGACCTGTCAGAGCAGATGGCCAGTCTAGAAGGGCTGATGCAGCAACTCAATGCCATAACAGGCTCCGCCTTCTAACATCTGAGCCCGGCCCGGCCCTGAATCACGGCCTAGTCTGGAACCCTTCTTCAAGCCTCGATGTCACCTGTTGTCTGGTCTTTCAAGGCACCAACAGGTCAATCTGGGTTTAAAGATGCCTCTGTGGAATCAGATCTCCGTTTGTGCTGGGTTAAGTCTGTTTGGTTTCTACTGGTCTTGGCTACTATCCACTGGGACCGGGATTGGAAAAAGGAAATTCGAAAGAGGATAAACACTACAGCACACAGCATCAAGAACAGGACCAGTGTTGAGGGGCGTCTTTAGGAGTTTAAACTGAAACCCCTTTAGACCCCTCAACCTCAAACGCAAAACTTTAAAAAAAACCCAATGCCTAGCGCCTCGACTTAATGAAACAGGGGGAAAGGATTATCACAAAAAAAGAAGACAAAATTACAAGATCCCTCCTGTTTCTCTTATTTGTGATATTTATTAGCATCCTTCTCCGCTGAGTTATCTTCAACTCAGTTACTGTGACTGTACCTCACTTATTTTTCCTTATCGCCACTCCGTTTTGTCTTTTCTTTTTCTTTGGGTATTCCAACTTTGCGCATTTATGGGATGTGCATATGGTTTGAAAATGCAACACAAACCTAAGTGAGAAATGGAAAATACATCCTCAGCCACCAAAGTTTCACCAAAACTTTTTTTTTCATGTGGATTCAAGGTTGTCTGTTATAACAGAGCAAGGTGATTCACTACGACATTTTTTTCTCATCGTTTATCTTTTTCTGTCTTACACAAAACTGTATGATTTGACTGAAACACACATCACTCAAGCCCAAGGTACCCTGCCACTTTCTGGATCTTGAGATTAAAATTGTAAAGTCCGGTCTGAATCATCTGGATCTGGATTCTACTAACTTTTTCTTACAGGACTGTACAAAAACCTCTTTAGACTCCCACAGTTGGTTGCTGCTCCTGACCAAGCCTTTACTCTCCCTAACGCAGAAAATGTCCAGTATTTACCCACAAGGACTTGTGTCGTTGCCAAATTCTCATCTCTGAAAGCTTACTGTAACTTTTTTTTGCTAGTTGTTCAAGTCTGGTCTAAAAATTGACTTGAAGTGGGTGAAAAAGATAAGATTTAAGGAACAAGGTGGAGCTGGTTTGAGATGATCAATTCCATTGTGGAACAAAGAAATGTCTCCGGTTGGAATACAGCGATTGTTCATGTCAAACGTATGTTCAGTCACTTTAAACATGTTAGTCGCAAAGTGCAGCATCGCCCCCATGTTGTCTGGAGGACTAAAGAAGGGTTACAGTCTGTGAATATCAGTGTTGTTGGTCTTTGGGACACTAGTTCACGTGTTCACCAAAGATACATTTTGTAGGACACTCACTGAATCATGGTTATTCTATCAAAAACATAATAAGCACTACCAAAATCGAGAAAAGGGTAATTACGTCATGATCATAAGACAACAGTTTTGACTCTGAGATCACAAAACAATAATTTTGTTTTCTGTCATTAAGTTGTATGCATAATTAGCTTCAAAGCAACCACAGCAGGGTGCTGTGTTGCTCTTGTCAAAAATGGAAGAAAAAGAGATTTGATGTTACCTTTATTATTAATGTTTTTATTGGGATTGGAGATGATGGGGCAGCCACTGATGACGATAATGAGACAGATCTCTGTCATTGTTTATTTTTTCACTGTGCCATTTTACAGTGTCTGGCTGGATGTGAGTGTGCTGTATCTGGGCTTGCTTTTGATGAATCCATATTTATTTTTCATGAGACAAACACGAGTGTACCTCTGTCAACCTTGATCAACCACCTGGAACAATGGCAAAACCGTCAGCTTGACTTTGAGTTTTCTTCAGGTGGTTCTGTTTTTATACAAAAAACAATAAGAGAAAATGTGACAAAAAGATCAACACAAATAATGCATAATCCACAAAGTATATTTTTACATTTGATGTCCTGTCAGAGCTGAGTTTTTTTTAAGTCAGGTTTTTTTAACCACATTTCTGCAGAGAGCTACTTTAACCACAGTGAAATATGATAACCTCCAGCCTTTGAACATGTCAGACATTTAGTTTAATTCAAAAATTCTTTGTTAACTGGTATAAAGAAGCCCTTTTGTGCCATTTGGAGTTTTAATAGAAGCCGTTTAAGAAAAGGTTGACTGAGGAAACAAATTGCAAAGAGGGAATTTAAACCTGAAGCAATTGCATTCAAGGTGTCCTCTGTAGCATCAGTGCAAAGCATATCTACCTTCCTGTTCTTTAAAACAACTGCATTTGCATTGACAGCAGGCGAGAGAACCTGATTTTGAAAATTTGATGGAGATGAGATGGGTGGGGATGTTTTTGTTTCTCTTTCTGAAAGAGAAATCATATTTGTGAAAAGCGGCATTAGGACAGTGAAGAAGGTGTACACTGTAAAAAAAAAAAAGTCCTAACAAATTGATCTGCGCTGGAGTTTTTGTGAAGGTCTCACTTCTTTCTTTGCTGCTGCAGCAATCTGTTTTTCTAAATATCACCCCCTCTTTCTTACAACATAATTGGAAGTATGTGGAATTACACCACCTGTAAAAATCACATTTGACCACCTGGCTAAATGACTGGTAAGGATAGTCATTTTGTCTGTCTGCAGAAAACCAGGAATTCAAAATGACTAATGATTCATTAATCAGTAGGGGGGAAAAAACAGGCAATCAGTATGCTCTGTATTTGACTCCATCACCCCAGTCTCCATATTGTAATTTACAGACCTTTATCTTTCTGTGATAAAAGGAAAAAGCCTGAGGGAGACAGAGAGAGGCAGAGCCATGAATTGATATTCAGGGGTGGTTTGTATGTGCGAGTTAGGGCACAGAGGAATGAGCCCGTGAATTCATTATAACGTAGTTTCAAATATTATGATTCAAGCTCACGCTCGCTGGGCCGTTACGCCGGCGGAGAAAAGTCCCGGGCACGGAAGGGATGGAAAGGTAACATCTCGGTAGTGCGAGCGCGGATATGAAAAGCGAGCGATTGCTGGCAGGCAGGCGGTGAGGGGATCAAACTCATCAGCCTGTTCTCGGAGAAAAATCCCTGTTTCACTCTGCTCTTTCTCCCCTCCTCTCCTCTCTGCAGAGCAGAGCTTTGTAGAGATGGAACAATCCTGTGCTGTGGGGTCAGACTAAAATTTGATTATAAAAAAATAAGAAAATCAGATTTAACAATAAATTCTGAATCGAATGGCCTGTTGACACAAGGCATTTCAAAAAAGAAAGAAAAGAAGGAATGATTAAAGTTAACTGCTCTTACTGGTGAATCTGCACATTTTAGCCCATTAAATGTGAATCACAGCTTCTTTTCCAATTATCATCCATCCAGCTGGACCTTTCTGGCAGACGTTTATTTGTTTCATTTCTGAAAGTCAGCTTGCACACATTGTTTCCAGACCTTCGTATCACTGCCAACTTGTCAGGTTTTGATCCAGTGACTCAGATGATGTGTGAGTGGGAATGGAAGCAACTGCACAGGTTACTTTAAGTCAACTTACAGAACAGCTCTTAAATTAAAAAGTAAAAAAATTAATATTAAATTGAGCAGTACTAGGAGTCTTCAAACTGGTGGATCCATTAGCCAGCCATCACACTTTGCATTTGAGCAAGTTTATTTTAGTCAGTGTTGCAGAATTGATCTATATTTCATAACTGTTTCTTCTGAGTTTCCTAGAAATGGCTTGTAATTTCAGCTGTTTCCATAATAGACCATATGCAAAAGATAGACACTGAGGTTGTCTCTCGTTTTAAGTCATCATGCTCATCACTTAAGCCACTGTGATCTCGGTTTTTGAAAACAAGGAGCAGTAGGGATTCGCCACTACCTACAGCATGTGCTACTTTAATGTCTATTTACACTGAATTGGACCCAAACTTACAAAATCAACACCAAGCTATATAAAACAAAATACAAAACTAGTGACTGATTTCAAAACCTCTTTAGAAAAGCGTTTACTGAGGTTTTCAAGTGTGAAGTTGGGCAGAGGTCAGAGTCAGAGTTTGATGGCCATTAGCACAAAAAAAGTAGGTTTAAGGCACTTAGTTTTCACTTTTCAACCTATAAGAAACATCCATCTTTTATGTCTACTCTTTGGTTTCCAACCGCCATTAGTTTTGTATATTTTCAATTTGTAAACCCCCCATAAGTCCAAATCAGGTCAAAGTGCTTGCTCAAATTATACTTTGACTAATCTGATCAAGAATACTTCAGTTACATAACGATGGGTTTGTCTCCAGATGTCTGTCTGATGCCCTGCTATACTTTATGCACAAGGTATCAGGCCTACAAAAACCCCTGCACTTTGAAGTCTCTACTATTTGAAATTCATAAACTTGAGCTGAAACCAATGGGTGCCTGGAAGGAAGGAAATCAGTCTAAAAACTGATGCAGGATCTTGGAAATAATCAGTTGGGCTGAAACCTTTGAACGTTTTTAGGCACGAGCTAAATCATGAAACACCTGTACAGTCTGTAGCGTTTACATAGGACATTTGGTAACTCTTAGAAGGAGAAATTAGTTGGACTCAGATAAAACACTTCAAAGTAGCACGGATAAGCAGCTGATTAAACCTTTAAATAGGTGTTTTTCCCCACAGCTGTCAAAAATCCGGCTTTATACCAATGATGTGACTTGAAATGTTCTTTAAAGAGAACACCTAACTTTTTTTATCCTTAGTCATTCGCCTTCATGAGTTTTTGTCATCGTTGAGATAAATAAGACATTCTCTGTAGCTATACTTTTCACTTCAGTGTTATTTTTCTTTCTCCATATTTAGTCACTTTATTTGAAGTCTTTGTGAAATGTTAAAATGGGCTCTGTGTTATGTTAATTTGTTCCTCCTGTAAATTCGACACACGGGGACCAGATGAGACGGGGCTGTTCTGCTGAGGGTTTATACCAAGAGCCCCGTGTCCCTTTAAAGGGAGAAACTAAAAAAGAAAAGTTGTTTTTGTTTGTTTTTTTTTACTTTGGCAGCGCAGATGCAGCCTTTCAGCACCTGCCTGGAAACACAGACACATCAGATGTACTACATCCAGTGATGGCAGGGATCGTCCTGTACTTGAAATATCAAAGCTTGGATCCACAGAACGGCAAACGTGTCTATCAAAATGTTCCAGTGCAAGATGCTGTACCCCCAAATGGCTCACTCGGTGAATCATAATGCAGAAAACGTTCATCAAAACAAACCATTTCCTCTCAGACTCAACCTAAATGTCCTTTTATTTCAACAACAAAGATCATTTTATGGAAATCCGCCCACTTAACTTAGAACAGTGTAATGGCCAGATTTCTAAAAGCTGATTTTTTTTTTTTTTTGCTTATTCGGAGATTTTTTCCCTTCAGTAACCAAGCTTTAAGATCCACAGCCTTTGCTGTGCAGTGATGTTTGCCTTAATACCTGACAAATTACCTGTATTGGCTGACCTTTAGTTATAGGAACTAAGAAACTTGAAGGGGAGAAATTCTGCCTGTATTCTCCCAATACTTGCAAGGAAATTAGTTTCATTTACATTATCTGCATGTAACAGCTGTAGGACCGTCTTGTACTCTACCTGTTTTTTCATTTTTCAGATTTCAGACATATTTTACTTTACAGCTTTTTTTTACTTTGTTTGCCTGGTTTCTGTTGATTTCTAGTGTGAAATCAGCTCTTTGAGAATTGACTATACAGTCATGACCAAAATCTATGGCCATGACTGTAGGATCCATACATAGAAAATACATCAATATTATTCAGGGGAACCAAAATGTCATCATGTCTACACATCACGGTGGACCTAAAATTACATTAGATTGAGGCAGATAGGTTGGCCTCTAGTGTTTGGCTACAGACAATTGAATCTCCCCTCCTGCAAATATCAGCTAGAGTGGAGGCATTGTCAGACTGTGGATGGGGACAAGTGGCAACTCTTTCTGATGCCAGGCTGCTTTAGCGCTATTTTAAGCTAAATCTCTTCCTAAAGTTTATTTTATCTCTAAAGCCAACCAAACATAGGTTTAAAAAAATCTGTTTCTATGTTACGGTTATATTTCAAATGTATCAACTTTGTCATTTAGGTTAGAGGACTTGTTGACAGGCAAGAATATTGAGAGAGATTAAATGATGCAGACACTGTGACTGTGTGGACAACATGTTAAGAGCAAGCTTTTATTTGTGGCAGTTAGAATAAACGTCTACTTAAAGGGGACATAAATTTATCTGAATGTGAAATGTAAAGCTAAACCATGTGATTTACTGTCAATGCGCAAAAAGATCCCAAAATATTGCTTTATGAAATAGTGTTTCTTCATCTGATGCTGGAACAGCCTCAGAATCACCATCATCTCAACGTCATCATCTTATTTTATCATTCAGTGCAACACAAAATTCCCAGTTTCACTTTTTCAAGTGTGAATTAAACAGTGCACAGGAATCTAAAAAAGGAGACTAAGGACTGAAAAGGACCTTTTCTTCTTCAAGAGTCTGACCCCACCCTCGCCCCATCTCCTAACAGCCAGATGTTGGGTCATTGCTTCGTGTGTATTTTACTGTGGAGAAAAACATTGCTGCAGCAGAACAACATTTTTAAAAAGCTCCTCTTTTTTTTTTTTTACAGTGTACAGTTCCACTAGAGTAGAAGTAACTTTTTTATAATCAAATTTAATATATTATTACTATTATTACTTTATTTCGAGTGCTCTTTAAATCTATTATTTATAACCATGTGATATTTCTGCAAATGTGCATTTAGATTAGCAAAGAACAAAAATGAAAAAAGAGGACTGAAGCAGTGTTTTATTTTTCTTATTTTAGGTTACTGCCTTAAAAGGTTTCAGTATTTTTTTTATATTGTTGCTTATTTACATTCCTTGATGAAGCATTCTGTTTGCCACCATGATTCCTCATTCCAAGGAGATGCAGTCACCTCCGATTTCTGTTTATTGTCAGTCCGAAATCTGGATGGCGGGGCTCCGATCGCATCTATGCAGTTCTTCTTCATAGTTACAGCAGACCCACCGTAGGGTTACATTTAAGTTTTATTCTTTGCCCACTATCTGGAGCCAGGAAATCCAAATCTGGGGTAAAGAGGGAGGCGCCTGAGTGGAGCTGACGTGAAGTGTGTTTCATTGTGACATTAAAACTGAATCTTGAGTTGAGCTGCATGAAAGTGTTCACTACTAAATGGAGTAATTTGTATTTGGCTGTATGGCTCTCCATTCTTGAGCAGCAGCAAGAACATAGCAGCTGGTACCAACAGCAGATATGACACTGGTCAATCCAGATACAGCATGGATTAAAGCTGCAGTGGAGGTGGGTTGCAAAGCAGCTTGCAGAGTGCAGTTATCATGTGCAAGACTTAACTTTGTGGTGTGCTTGAGTCAACGCTAATCGGCTGAAAGTAGTACAAACGGTGCCTTTGGACAAATTCGGACATGATATATTTGACAATGGCATCTATAGAATAAAAATCTTTCACCTCAGTAACTGATTTTTTTCATGTGCTCACATTTTTATTCTTGTAATGGCAATTTTTCTCTTTAAAAAACTGACTATATTAAAAAACAAACCAGATGTTGGGTTACGTTAAGTATTCACTCAGATTTGATTGTTAGAGACATACCAATGTTTCAAATGGAATCATTAAAGAATAATTCTTTAAGGACAAGTAAAGCACCATATGTGTTTTTCATACTCCTTATTTCCATTATAGTAGAACACTTTCAGATCCCCTTTAATTTTAAATGTATTTTTCTTCTTCCAGTAGGTATCATTGGGTTGGTTGATTACTCTGATTACTGATTACTCTTCTGGAGACTGATACCTCACTATAGCTATAAAAGATCATTGAATACTGACCAGCACTACTGGTCAAACTTTACATCTCTCTATTAAGGCACATATGATGACTTCTTCTCATATGTCTGAGTGTCTCTGAATGCACCGCCACAAAGAATGTTCTAAATGCTTTCAGCTGCATTTCTGGATGACTTCAGCATATCTTTGCTCACAAAGGTGTCATTAAATGGCAGCCTGGAAGGCAGGAAATCAGAGTAAAAGCTGATGCTCTGCAGGAAAGAAAAACCAGTGCTCTTTGTAGTTAATGGACTAAAACCTGTGAAACACACCGGGAAGGTCCTTTACGAGTGAAGGCTCCTTGTGAACTAGTATAGTGTCAATTGGGTGAAACTCAGAAACACCAAGCAGACTTGATAAGGTGGAAACTGGCTCAGCTTACCTCCCACATTTCAAAGGGAAACTCGACTTCATTAACTTCTTTCTTTGGGCGCTTCACTCCTGTGTGGGACCCATTGAGGATCAAAAAAGGGACAAATTACACGGTGAAAAAAAATAAAATAAAAAAAGGGAGGGTTAAATAAGAGAAAAAATAAAGTTGGTCAGGGATGTGGTGACTAAGAGAGGTCTGGTGTCGTGTGAAACCATCTCCGTCAGCTCCATGGCAGACAGTTTGAGGCCAAAAGCTTACAAAAAGAAAATAATAGAGTAGGAAAAAAAAAACGAATGATGTGGACCTCATCTCTTCAGGGCGAAAGGGACCAAATTAAAACGACCCTTATCTCCTCTCACACAGACAATTACTTCATTTCCAGAACATCATTGTTGGACAGAGGAGCCGACAGATGGACGATTCAGAGTAAATACATTCAACTTCATCCTTTAAGAAAAAAGTCCAAGACTCATTATAACCAAATTAGCTTAGTGACTGCAATATTTAAGAGTGTACATTTTGTTCATTTAAGTGAAGGGGGGAAAGTGGATGATGATGAAGACAAAGTAAAGCGAAGTTTCTATCCACAATGTTGTATACAATTGCTGGTTTTGTAATGCACTGTAGAACAGTCCCATGGTCCTTTTTTATAGAAATGTTATTTCAATGGTGCATTCTTTTTGTTTGATAAATAAAGTTTTGATACAAAAACAAACATCCTGTTAATGTGCCAGATTATTCACCACACAACTGAATGTGTGTATAATAGATGTTACGGAGACTTAAAAACCGAGTCACAACAAAGTTAACTACAAAATTTCAGGGTGAGACTTCACCTTACTTAACCTGATGCATGAGGAAAGGCTGCGTAGGACTCAAGGGGAGTCTGTCATAGCCTATTATACAGTTAGTGTCAGAATGATCCATCAGGCTATAGTTAGAAAGGAAATTGTCCTTAACTGGAATATGCTGAGGAAAACCTGTTGGGTTCAGCTGGCGGAAAAATCTGTGTTTTGTTGCTGCTGTCATCTTACAGAGCAGGGGGGATCCAGGACATCTTACAGTGTGTTGATGTGGTGACAGAGTTACGGCAACACTAAGTCAGGTCTCTCACTATCGGTTTTCACATTTTAGTACCCGTAAAGCATCCTTTGGCATCACATTTAAGCTTTTTTGTTTTTTCCCAGCATGCAGGGTTAATGTTGTGAAGGTACGTATTTTAATCCCAGCCTTGATCTTTTCCTACACTTATTCACAGAGTGAGAGGGAAAGTAGACAGCTTAAAATATGACACAAACCAATAGAGGTCGAGTGAAACAGTAATTCAGGCTGTGAATTTGATTCCATGCCAGGCCACTCAGGCTAAACCTGTGTGTTATTTAAGGCTGCCAACATATCAGATTTTTCTATGCTGTTTAAGGAATTTACTTCATATTATTCACTTGATATTATTGGCTGTCTAGTATTGAAAAAAGTGCTGTCAGTCTGCCAGTTGTCTGTTTTTGACCAATTTATTAAACTCAAAATAATAGTAAATGGAGGTAAGACGCAGAGCCTGCATCCAGAATTATGTATGAAAGATGCACAAAAATAACAATAGATTTCTTTTTAAGACATTATGAACATATTTAACTGAATTTCTTCAATACTAATTATCGGAGGTTAAAGTGCGATGTGGTTGAAGGGGAATCCTAACAATGTGTGTGGGGTAATGAATTACTTAGAAATAAGCCAAATAACAATTTTTTAAAAGTCTGAAATATTTTTTATTGTATACAGACTGTGACCAGCTGATCTGTGGTGCTACTGTGATATCCACTGCTCTTTGTGGCTTTAGCCAACTGAATCCACTAAGATAACCACGTTTAATGAGCTATATCGATATCTTAGAGCATCACATGTTAGCTCAAACATTTTCAACACACTGCACAGAAACAGAAATTGTGTTTGGTGATATTTGTGCCCTATCTGAAAAGGTACATTTGAAATTTCTTGCCAACAAAACATTAAGCTGTTTATGTCCACTCTTGTTGGTGCTTCAGTGCCCCAACTTTATTTGTATGTGCACCATGAACACACATGAATGAGAAGGGAAAAAAGAAGGATATGTGGAGATACTGTGGGATTCTTATGACTAAGCAAATATTGCCTGGTGCACCAGGCTGCACCACAGGCAAAACTAACTCAGCCAAAAGTAACAGGCACTAAACCTGTCCATCAAATTTAGTTGCTTAATAACTGAAGGTGCAGGAACACACTTCCGGAGCCACTTCTAGCCCTCTTTAACTCCTACTAATAGTAAATATAGTGATTCTTCTGAGGCTAAGAATCATCCACTATATGTTTATTACAGACGAAAGTTATCCAAATAATACACTCAGGAGAACTGAGAACCTGAGTGATCAAAATCTGGTCGGGCTATGAGAACACCCCAACCAGATGCTGAAGCACAAAAAAATTATCCTGCATCTTTTAAAAAGACAATGAGATACAGTGAGTGAGTGCAAAGCTTCAAATGATTATTTTTATAGTCAAAGATCGGGACAGAGTATCAGAAACACACAAACATTGACCTCATTAAGTGACATTTCAGCATTTAGCCACATCTCTTATTTATTGTCTGCCTCTCTCCTGCACCATTTCTTAACCTCTTGTTACACCAGGACCTGTGTAACATTATGTGTAGAGAATCAAGTAGACACTGTGTACCTTACCAAGAGAGAGAAGCATACACATTGACCCTTGTGTCTGTGGCAAGAGCATAAAGTTTATAGATAACAGAGTTGTGACTGACTGGTTACGTGTTCAGTACCTCATCTATACTTTCAATAATAGGACTGCTAAAGTTCACACTAGGCCAAACAGCCATCAGGTCACAGGGAAATGCTCCCTGCTCATGATAGTCCGTCTGCTACTACGAACCACATTTTCCTGACTGACAAACTTCTGACTTACTGCACGGCGCCCTTCTAATGCGGAGTTTAAGAGGATAAAAAGGTGCACGAAGGCACTAACACCAACTAAAAGACTTGGCAGTATCTGATGCCCTGGTATGAGAATGTGTTATATGGTTAGGTTTTAAAAAGCTCAGCAGTGCAGCATGTCATACAGGGAAACAGTTCAAAAGAAACAACTGAATTCAAAAAAGACTCCTCCAGGGGGCTTTGACACAGCTGAAACAGCCAAATGTGCCAATTATGTACCATAAGGCAAGACTGCATTATGATTTTCAATCACTAAATCAAGGCAATGAGGAAATGTGTAACTGTTAAGTTTAAACAAAGTCTCATATCGTCTATTTTAATTTAGACTATGTTGTAAGCATGGCAGTGAAGGGACTCTTATATCTCAAACCTTGATCTTTCACTCAATATGGACAAAACCAAAGTAACATCAGAGCTATATCATCAACCTATTGATCATACAGTACAGGGGCAAGGGACCTACGGGTATAGAAACACATCAACATCTCTTAGCTATGCTAAAAAGTAATTTGATATTACATGTTTAGAACAGAAACTGATTATTATTACAGGAAAGTCTGAATGGGCTGAACTCACACGAGTCAGTGAAGGGATCTGGGGCATCTGTAGTGGAACAAGTCTAAGAGCTCTGTAATGTGCAGATACTGATTAGTTTTAACATGTACAAAACAAAACTACTGATTAAGATGATCACCATTGGCTCCAATTTAGCCTGTGGTATTAGGGATTGTGCCAAAATTGCTGGAATTATAAAGACAGAAATATATTGTCAGATTTTGATCCACCATGCAAATCTGATTATCAATAGCTTAATTTTTCGATATGACAATGACCCTGAACACACAGTCAATGTAGCAAAAGCATGCCTGGATAGAAAATGTGCAGGCATGTGAGTCATGGATAGGGCCCAGAGCCCACACTGCTTTAACATTATTAAAGCAGTGTGGAATCATCTCAACGAGCACAAAAGGTGACCAACATTCAAAGAGGAGCTTTGATTGTGCATCAAGAAGCCTTGAAACCTTTCCTGAAGGGCACTTAAAGAAACTTCGAGAACCCTTGCCTTAGAGAGCTCAGAATGTCATAAAGAATAATGGTCATGCCAAATATTAACTTTCAATCTTGTGAGAATTGTAAAAACCCTGTTTTTGCCTTATATACTCATATTTAAATATGTTAGCATTCCATGTATGTTAGCATTTTTTAATACATTTCTGCAACTATTTCTCAGTTTCCGATCAAAATAGGGAAAAAAAGTGATGATTCATGACTTTTGCACAGTATGGCACTTGGTCATATGTACGCTGTTACCACCTGCAGCTGTAACCACCTGCAGCTGTAACCCACCTACAAGCTGTTTGCTGACTCCTACTGAACAACAAAAGAGGAAACAGAATTTGCAATGTACGTAGCAGATTTTTAAATCTGACCCATTATGGAGCTCTGTGGTGAAAAGGTGTCGTCTAAAAATGCCTCCATTTGTGTGGAGCTGTGGAGATTTCAACTGTGTGGACATGCTGAACTTTAGGACAGAACACAGAAGGAGGTTTTTGGAGAGTTCTACTGCATTCTGTTTGGTTCTACTGTCTCTTCTGCATGTCGACTGACGAGCTGCCAGCTTCTGTCTGCAGGCTGACGAGGCGGATGAAGGAGGCCTGTGGTGAGCTGGTTGTTAGCTGAGGACTGGACTGCAGGATAAACTGTCTGACAGCTTGTCTCCTTCCTCCATGCTGAGATGTGAGCCTCCATCTGCTGCCTGCCAGCCTGATGGCCACTGCTGTCCAGTCTGAGTGATTAGATAATTCAGAAAGAAAAGAAAATTATAGAGTTCTAAGCTAAGTTCAAGACAGGAGAAACCAACACGTGCTGGGAGTTGAATATTCATTTTAAATAAGATGCACTGCTCACTCTTGAGTGAAGTGGTTGACTTATGTAAAATAAAGCTTACATTTGGGACAAGTGACTTTTAGAAATCTTTATGAAAAACCTTTTTTTAATTGATTTTGTTGGGAAAACTCTTTCAAAAATCTTTCAAAATAAAAGTCTTACCTAGTGAAATAACAGAAAATGACAAAGAGAAAAGTCAAAGAAGTCAGAACATATCCAGTTTGATTTATTGTCACCAAATGTCACTTATTCAAATTTACATGATTTTTCTGTAATTGAATAAGTTACAGATCTTGTTTCCTAAACCTGTGTTTTTAATTTGTTCTTTAGTTTTGTAACAGGAGAGAGATGGCAACACAACCACGCAGTTAAGTTTTAATGAGGCTGCATAAGTGGAAACCAACAATGCCTCAAATTAAAATGAGTTTTCCCAGGAAAAGAAAAACACTTGGTAAGAAAATCATCATCATTAACATTAGGGTACCTTTGTCATTATTTTTGTAATAAACCACTTGTTATTAGTTAAGTTATTTATTGTAGTATAAAAATGTAAACGCTAAATGATAACTCCCATGTCAAAATGTTGTTGTCCCAGCCACACACTTAAACATCCTCATTGATGTGATATTGACATGATTGCCACCACTGGGGGGAAAGGCTTTAAAAATCTAAGGCCAGAAACGTCACCCATTGAATTCTAAGTTCCGGATATATGCAAGTTTTCGCTTGTCAAAATGGAGCAGATATATCTCAGAAGAGAAAACCAGCCAGTCATAGTATTTAGATAATATTAAGATATTTAAATTCAGATAATCCCACTGAAATGTTTCAAAGGGCACCAACA